CCATCCCACCCCAGGGGAGGACATCCATCACACAGTAATCCCGTGTGTGGGAATTAACGTCTCCGCTCAGTTAGCCCAATGGATAGTGCGCTGGACTGTTGTGCGGGAGGTCGAGGGTTCGAGCCCCGGCCGGACCAACACTCAAGGTCTTAAAATAATTGAGAAGAATTTGAGGCGTTAAATTCCCACACACGAGATTACTGTGTGATGGATGTCCTCCGCTGGGGTGGGATGGTGGGATGTACAGGCCCCCATTTAAACCAGCTTCAAGCTGAACTGGACTGACCTGTCTAAATATCGTACATACATACAATACATATCTAACCATTTCTTGATGTTATAGAAAGGTAGCAAATTCTTCTCAATTATTTTAAGACCTTGAGTGTTGGTCCGGGCGGCCGGGACTCGAATCCTCGACCTCCCGCACAACAGTCCAGCCCACTATCCATTGGGCTAACTGGGCGGCGTTTGCTTTCTGTTGGTAGCCTGTGTTTGTACTACAAGGGGTTAGAGACCTGCCCTCTTTCATTCTTTAAAAGAAAGGTTACTACTATACCTTGAGAAACGGAAAAGACATTCTTACAGTCCTTTGATAGTCTCACTGATGTCACCGTGCTGAAAAGAAGGAACGCATATGGTTTAAGTAAGAAATAAAACCGAAAACTTACTATCCTCAATAAAAGCGAGGGACTTTGAAAGAATGCATTGCACCAGTGAATGCTGTTTAGACCAAGAAATCCCCTATTACACTGAGCTCTGACAGGGATTTACCAAAACAACAGGGATTCACCAAAAATTGAGCAGTATAACTACCTACGTAAGAGTAATCATAAATTCTAAAAGAAGCGAACATTTTACAGTTGAAGGAAAGAACACACTCTTGAGCAATAAAATGATTTTAACATGAATGAAATTGATTGCAGAATGTAAAAGAAAGAGAGTCTCGCACACAATGCGAGTGAAGAAACTAGTTTGAGAGGAAGCAATGATCAAACATATGCAAAAATACTGGAAAGCCAGACGTAAGAAAATCTGTGTGCTCCGGAGAGATCCAATTCATGTTTGAAATTCATGTTTGAGTAATGATCCATCGAGTGCAACCTTTGTCTCATACAGGAGGAATGTTAGAGCGCTAAGGAATCAAACATTGTTCCAGGAAGAGGCGAGAAAAAAAAAAGAGAAGAGCAAGTATTTACGCCACAGGAAACTATTTAGAATCTTAAATTCAATTTATTATAATGCATTATCCATTGGAAATTTACGATTGGTAAAAATTCGAAAGTGGTGAATTTTCAGTTTTATCACAAAGGAACGTTAATTAATTTCGGCAAACTTTGCTGTTCGAATTTTAACATCTTTCCGAGATTTACTTCTCTTAGATTTATTTTTCCTGGAAAACGTAGTCTGTCCTTCACAAGCCAGAGATCAGCGAGGAGCAGTGACTCAAAGTATTGTCTAAAAACCAAAAACTAAATTCACGGTGAGAGTTTGTTTGAAGACAGCTTAACTTTAAACTTATGTCAATACAGTTCATTTGGAGTTTAATTTTCTGTTTAGCATTCACGATTGAAAGTATTTCATGCATTACTATATTCAGCAGTCTTTAAACAAAACTTTACCTTCTGTGTTGCGTGAGTTGACTGTTGGTTATATTGACATTCACAGAACAAGATGAAGACTCCCTATATAGGACACACGAGGTTAACATATACGCAGTGCCCCTCAGACATCCTTTAAATCGAGGGAATAAGCACCTCGCCGCCAACAGAGAAATACTCCAGCAACATGAGTTTATTGCAGGCTCAAACGTTTTCATTTTCATTATTTTCAATCACATTTATATTTATCACTCAGACAGACACTTATTCCCTCGAGTAAATAAAAGAATTATGATAAAACATGGTTTAGGAATCAAATCAACCAGCTCAGGTATTATAGGGTTTTTGTTCACTAGTTGTTGGCTGATTGTTTGCCTGTTTTGTTTAGCCTGTTTCGTGCCCTGAGACAATTTATGGACAAATCTTGGTTTCAACACATTTTCCTCAACATTTGGCATGGACACCAGCCACATTAGATTTTTAATGTTACAGCTCCGGGTTCAAGAGTTTACGACATGTGAAATTTAAAATAATCCAAATTAAAAAATTTTAATGGTTTTCTCCCTTAGTGAAATAGTCTGATAAGCCGTAACCACAGAAAGGAATTTAAAATAATATCACAACAAACAGAAGAGGGAAGGAGACAAGTTGTTGTGTAGATCAGAGAGAGAAGAGGAATTTTCTCACGACACAATCTGGGCAGGTCCTGCCGGTGAAGAAGGGCGTAGCTATAGCAGACAAGCTGAAAGTTCCCCAAAGAAATGCAGAAGGAAATGTTAGAACAAAGGAGAGAGGTTTTATTGCCTATCGCTCATTTGGAATCGCTTATCTGTAATCTACACATCATCCACTGCCTTCTAGTTAATAAAACATTATACTTCACGTAACACGTTTCTCCTTGTTACACAGTTATTCTCACTCTTTGTGCAGTTTGTGGCACGTCGCCTGCTGAAGCTTCTCCATGTTAGTCCACTGTGAATGATTATTGCTGAACATTTCATCAAAGTCAACTGAAAGAACCAGTAGATTTTCTTTAACTTAACACCCAGTATGCACAGCATCTGCGTCTAGGCGTCAGAAGGGAGAGTGAGGGTGACAGAAGACTGTTTCCTGTCCTCCCTCCCCACCCAACCCCTGGGGACCTGTCTGAAATAACATAATTGAATCTGCGATCAATTAGCTGCAACACAGCGGTCAAATGTCTACGAACATACGCCCGTTAGTCCCCTCGATTAACTATGTTATAATAGCTCAGTGGCGTCAGCTATCAGGCTGTTAGAATCAATTTTGTTGACAGGATTTCTTACAAGAGTTCTAAGCAACTACACACGCTAATCAGTCACGAAGTTTTAGAGAGTACAACTCTTTTGAAAAGGCCCAAAACAAAACGTAAAACCAGCAGGAAACCTGTAATGCAATGAGCTTTTGAGTTCGCCGAGTCACGAGTAAGGCAAGGATTTAAGTTCATACACCTACCATTGACTTTGATAACTGGCAAAGTGGCAGGACTTTTAGCAGCTGGTTCGCTGGGATTCTCTCCATTCAGTATACTACTACTGATGGGTGTCGGGTCCGTACTGGGAGAAGGACTAACTCCAGTCACCTACAGTAAATCAAGTTTACCTTCTTAACCACAGGGCAAACGAAATATGTACTCAGTTTTCATTAATGGGAATTTTAACGAAGACGGTTCTCAGAATATGGTGTAACATTGGTAGTATACAGACACACTGTGGGACATAGACAATCAGGTTACAGGATTTTGTATCAAACGGTGCAAATTAATCAAACATATGAGATTGCTGTACAAGTCAATTGCCATCTTTGATGTCAATGCGGCCATATTGATTACTATCTACCACGTGGTACATAATACTGATTTCTGATTGGCTATGTCTTAAAGTGCAGCCATCAGAATTTTTTTCCTGTATGAACTGATCCGATGTAATTAGTAGTTATCAGCCGAGAAGTATTAAGGTTTGTTAGTTGGACTTTGTGGAACACGAGTACTTTCGCTCTGACGAAGGCCTAACGCTAAAAACGCGAGCATAGAGACATTACCAACTCGGTTGATGAAACCAAACAAAAATTTTAACCCCTCCCCCCGCCGATGCAGCACCACAGTTTCTTTAGAAACCTACCCCCTTTCGTAATATTTGTACTTGGAACAACTTCATGCAAGTTGTGCGTATTTTATATCAACGTAGGATACTTTAGCGGGCTGGAAATATTGAGTTTACTTCGTTCTTCGATTTATCGATCCTAAATTTCATAAGGGAAACGCTTGGCGGCGGGTTTTGGAAGTAATGAACTGATGGAAACATGATTTGTAGTGCGACATGTAACCCTTACATATTAAATAAGTGTTAACAGTTTTTACCAGTTTCTGTGGATGAGGACTTGTAAACAGCTGTTTGGGAGTCTGTCCAAACTCCAGGATCTGAGCTTCTAAAGATGCCCGCTCATTTGGATCCTCAATCCTAATTCACAGAGGAAGAGAATTAAAAGAAAAAAAACTAAGCTCCATTACAAACACATCATCGAGATAAAAAAAAATGAAAGCAGCAATTTCAATGAAAGCCGTGCTATCAACGTTTTTATCTTACTTTTCTAGGTCAACGGCTCCCTCGTAAGTCAAATAGTAAAACACTGAAACCAGAGATAAAAACCATTTTTTGTTAGTTACAGCATGATTCATATAAAACAGGAATTGAAGCACCTTTCGATGAAGTGTCCTTGAGCTAGGTAATCGCAACAATCAAAGAGAACAAAGATTGAGATTAGAAAGAGCGAGATGCGCTGTCTACCGCGTTCCATTAAATTAAAAAAAATCAGCAACAAAAGCTGTTACCATTGTCTGCTTGCCACGCATCATGTCCTCTTTGTTTGTATCCAAATATTAAGTCGATCCAATTGTGAAGTCTTTCTGAGACATACGGGCATTCAAGAGCCTCTCGATTCTTCCGAATAAAGTCCCCTGGATCTAATCCACGTGAAAATATAAAAAAAAGGTATGTAAGTGTATTATGAAAGGTGAGTTATACATCTGATTCATAATTTCATCCTATTTTCCAGTAAGACTTACGACGCAATCTATTGCACAAAGTCTCACTTGTCGAGGAAAACTAGTTGCAAGAAATCATCTTAAAGAAATATTTTCAAGTCCACTAGACCAGCAAATTTTGTCATTGACACATTTTTTCTATGATATGTATCCACCTTCATATTGCCGAGTCAGTTTTAGAACAAAGGCTGCTGGCCAAGGATTAAACTGTTATATTATTCTATCTATTCTGCTGCGGAAAACCTGTCAAAGGGAAACTTTTCAAAGAAAACCTCGCCAGTGGAATTGATGCTGTATAAAGATTTATAATCTACTTTGGTAAAAAAATGTCATCACTTTTAATCTGTAATAAAATTTGGGCTCTCACTGATTTATGGCGATATCAGCTCTCGTGTACTCAGCAGTCTGCTACGTCTATAACCTAGAACCTTTTAACTCCCATGAGTGACCAAGACAGGTTTTCTCCTTACCATATCAATACAATATCAAGCAGACAAGCCATGAGAATAAACAAAATATCAATTAGGGGATAATTAGTTGATCCAGTACCAAATTCTCCAAACTTACATCATAAGAATTGAATGGTAGACAGTAAGGAGAATTGATGAGAAGATCTTAGGAGTGACAGGGTTAACAAAGGAGCACAAAACAATACCGAATTCTCCCTACCCGCTTCTGAATATTTCTCTATCAGATCAGTACTGAGAATTTACTTGTAAATCAGGATTAAATAATTTAATTGATTATTTTCTTTATACTCAACATCAGTGCACTGAACAGTATACTGATGCGCATAAAGAGAGTTAGGTTGTTCATCATTCTCATCCCACCTTTGGCCCAGGCTGGGAGCTCAACATCCATGACTTTTGTCTTGTCCTGTTTGCAGCCCAATGGCAAACTTTGACTGTTTAACAAAAACTCGCCCGATGACTGGAAAAATTCAGGAATCAGCTGTTTGAAATGAGAAAAAAAGATTCTCCAGTGAAATATTTTTAGAGAGCTTAAAAACAGCAACACGCGACTAGGAAATGTTTCAATCTTCTCTTCACTTGCCAGCAGAATAAGTGCCTTTTCATGATATGTTGTTACTTTTTATTATTTTTTAAATCTTAATCTTTTATTTTTTTTTGCGTCTTTCAGGCGAGCGAGGAGAGTGTGAAGAGCGAGTCACATGCGAGAGCAGTTTTCTTGATCCCACGCTTGTGAAAAAGGGTTTACCATCTTTAGTGACCATGCCTACTTTTAGACTAGTTAGCAGTTCGTAAACATAATCCTTTACACTGCTAATATGAAAGAAAAGGCAATAATTTGAAAATAAGGGCGGGAGGGAGGAATCAACTCAATGAACTTGCACAAACCTCTTTGACATCCGCATGTCCTGTCAAAACATTCTCCCAAGTTTCAGCAATACTATAATTCCACAAAACAACACAACAGTGAGGACAAACTTTCCCTAGATTATAGATGATCATTAGAGACTAAGGCCTAGATGTATATTTAGTTGGTATCAATTAGTTACTTTGTTTGAAGTATTGCACATCGTTTGGACTACCTTTAGAACTACGATGCCATGTCTGACAAAAGAATTACATCTCTATAGAATGCAAACACTGAGTTATCATCGTTTCTTATTTTATTTTTAATACTAATTCGTACGCGAAGCTCAAAAATCGGGTCTACGATTTTAGCTTTGGCGTCTCTCCCAAGTCCCACTCCCCGTTTTTAATCCCGTCCTAGTCCCACTCCCCGTTTTTAATCCCGTCCTAGTCCCACTCCCCGTTTTTAATCCTTTCCTAGACCTTCCGTTTGAAGTTAGCGCACGTTCGACTACCAAAGAGGTGTGGGTTATTTTGAAATCCATCTTCACTTATTCAGGGCTCGACCCTAACGGTAGCCAACTAGCCACAGACTAGTAGAAATTCAGTTTTGGCTGGGGGTTTTCGATTTCCACTTGCAAGTTTGGCTAGTAAACAAACTGAAATTGTCGTAACATCTAAGTTGTCACTGGCCACTTTGCTAGTCAGTTGAACAGTTAGTGTCGAGCCAGAAGTGTTAGTGTTATTCCAGAATTGCCTCATTCATCTCTATAACAAAATCATAGCGTCCACACCAAAATAGACTTATCAATACATACGAAATCATTTTAAAACTCACCTGTTAAATAATCTATCTGGCTGGTCAAATTTTCCTCCTTGTAAGCAGAGCATAAATTCAGGGGCTGTGAAAAGAAACAAGGCCTTAATTAACACTTTCACCCCTAATCATCATCATTTTGTAACAAATCAAGTCAACTGTTATCTGCTTTCGTTTATCATCACACCAAGCTGAAAATTAATCATTTTAAAGCAATTTTCAATCGAGTGTCGAAAATGACCCAGTATTGCTCTGTTCTTACTTACTACATTCTGTGATAAGACCAGAAATCCGCGCCAGTCTCTCAACCAATCAAATGCAAAACCAAAACCAAAACCAATCACGACTTGGTCACCCGCGTTTTGCCGCGCTTTACGCAATTTGGTCGATTTTACTTTTAACTTCTCATTGGCTCTTAATCCTTTCTTTTGATTGGCAGTTGTCATTACTATGGTTCTGGTTATGGTTTGACGACACTCAATCCAAAAGCGCTCTACGGCTTAAAACTTACCAACTCTAACAAGATAGTACAACACATATCCAGGGGTGGAGTAATGAGATCCATACAGGAACTTTGGATCCGGCATCTCTTTGCATCGCTCCTGAATGAAGAAGTTAAAACATTA